GTGACCCACAGTTGAGAACTGCTGCCTTAGCCGATCACTCCCCATCCCGCCCTTCCTCCAGCTCCCGGTACCCACTGATAACCTCGTCTCTGTGCACTTGCCTACTCTACATCTTTTGTCTAAGAGGGTCATGTACCTTTTGTCCTTTCATAACTGGATGGGTTCATCTTGCATCATGCTTCCAAGGCGCTTCCGTGCCGCGACCTGCATGAGCACTTCATCTCTCCGTGCAGCTGCGTAACATCCCACTACAAAGACGACATCACGCTTTGTTTGTCCACCTGTTGATGGACATCTGGGTGGTTTCCACCTTTAGGCTATTGGGACCAATGCTGCACTGAACCACTGGTGGATAGGTATCTATCTGAGTCCCTTCTTTAGATCTTTTTCTCTGGCTAATTCTTCTGTTGAATGCTTGCCTCTCACTAGATAGACTGTGGATTCCACAAAGACAAAAGCTTGTGTCTGTCTCATTGTTCAGTGTCCCACGTGGTGCCTGGGTCAGGCGGGTATGGAAAGACTAACTGTGGGATTTTCCCTTTTCAAAAATGTCCCTGCAACTAAGGCCAGTATGTTGAAACCAACCTGACCAGATTTTGGGGACTGAAGTTGGTAGAGAGGAAAGAAGATGGGGTTTGGGCTCTCCTCAGCCCTGGCCTATGGACTGACCTTTCCCTGGTCTTGACAAGGTCCCAGCCCCGAGTGTAGTCCCCTAGCTCAGAGAGTCGGGGTGTCCTCGTCCACCAAGGGGAACAGCAGTATTTGTCGTGGTGGGGTTAACACTATAGATAAAGTTCCCGGCATGTAGCAGACACTCAGAGATGGTGGGGACTGCTTTTCAAGTCAGAAGATGTATGTCAAGAAACAATGTTTCATGAATCCCTTCAGCATAGGGATTGCCCAACAAACCTTGCTGGCACCCGAGTGAAAGGATAATTAACTGGCAAACAAGGCTCCGGAGTTAAAGATAGAGATCTCTAGAGAGATGTCGGGATGTCTGTCCATGTGGTTACACTCCAGGCCATCAGCCTAGAATTTGTTTACATTCTAGAGCACAGGCATCTCTCCAGAAGGGAGAAGGGGAGGCTTTACTAGCGCCCTAGATAAGCTCTACGTTTTATCTCCCAGGGGTTCCCTTCCTGCAGTAAGACCTTTGTGTGTGCGCATGTGTGTAATTTGATCATGACCTTGTTCGATGACTTCCACCTTCTGATGGATCACCTTTCTTTGGAACAGGCACATCATCAATATCACGGTCAAGGACCACTCGCTGAAGAGAATCGAAAGATGGCTGCAGTAGTGTGTCGACAAAGAACTCCCGGAAATTCAAGCCCACCCGAGAAGAGGGTGTCGAATGAGGGATAGCATTGGTGACATCAGCTAGATCTTGGCTAAAAGCCAAGAAGGATTAAAAAAAAAAAAAAGCCAAGAAAGATTCCTACCTAATTTTTTGAACTACGCAAAGGCATTTGACTGTGTGGGTCATAAAAAATGATAGATAACACTGCACAGAGAGGGAATTCCAAAACACCTCATTGTGTCCGT